ATATATTAATTATTATATACATATTTAATTTTTATAAAAACTATTTTTATTACGTAAACAATATTAAACTTCCAAGTTTTATATATAAAAATAAAATATGTTATAACAAATAAAAAAGTTATATTTAAGTTATCTCCCTTTAGCTAGCCTNCCGCTAAAACTACCGCGCATCTTCATAGATACGTTACTGGATTCTCTCGGANTTCGTCGCGCATGCGCGTACAGCCTCTCCAATATCGGAACACTGGTTAGTGTATGAAATGAAACGGAATTGTAGATGTCGTAATGTGTTCTCGTGTAGTTTCGTGCAGCTCCGTGAAGTTTCGTTCGCTTTACACAAGTCACTAAACGATGCGTGTGCACAATCACTTAAGCCCCTTGCACAATGGAAGGAATAGCGATAGCAATAGAAATAACACAGTTTTTAACACAGAATTCCAACTCGTCAAAAATTTTATTGCTATTGCTTATTCCGATTTTCTGATCTGCATTGGTGTATTTTTGTATGTTAGATTCCGCTGTTCCTACCTTTATTTTTAAATATAAACTCTTTAAAACTTTTGTTATTTCTATCGCTATCGCTATTCCGTCCATTGTGCAAGAGGCTTTATTTTCTCTTTAGCAGTTTGATATTTAAAAAATATATGATTGCGAGACTGTTGTATGCAACATTGCATACAATTTTAAATTTTTCTGTAATTTTGAAAAACAATTAAGCGAGATAAAATTTCACACGCAGTATAAAAATGACACGTGACTACATCAATTAAATTCCCAGAATATAAGGAAAATACGTTGAAAAGTGTATAAAAATTTCCTTTTTATTGCATACAGAGTTTCCTTACTTATACATTGAAGCACTGAATAAATATGCGGGACAAAACTTTATGTAAATGTTACGCGATATACGTTCAGGTTTCAAGTAAAAGAAAGAGGAAACAAATGACGAGAGAATGATGATTTTTTATTACAATAAATTTTTACGATATATAAATGTATAATAAAGATCTATATATATATATATATATATATATAAATAATATATATATATATAAAAGTTCTATGTCCACAACCGAATGGCAAATATAACTCCTCGCAATTACATAGGTACAATATATAATGTACAATTTATAAATTTTCAATTATATAATGTACAATTCCTAATTAATATGTTTACAAGAGAATTTCGTAAGCTCAGAAATTTTTATATTAATGAAAATTTGCATATATGTAAAAGTAAAAAAACCAAGTGGCAAAAATATAGATGTAAATTTTTAGTTGAAGTTAAAAACCGACATTTTAAGAAATGGACCTTGGACTTAAAAAAAATAGCGTTTAGTTTTTTTTAATATGTCACGAACTATTTGGTAAGAAAAACTGTCTCATCTATAGAAAACCTTAGAACAAGAACCATTTCTTTTTACCAATACAAATGTTGAACCAATAAAATATTGAAAAACTTATTATCTATTGGTTTTTTGAAGTTTTTCTTTATTTTATAATTAAAGTTAGTAATTTTTTAATTTCTTAAAGCCGTTTTTATCTCCGTCTGCAAATGTTTATCTATAGTTTGCTTTGACTTTCACATGTGTGCGCAAGGAAGTTAATTTTAATTAAAATTAAAAGTTCCGAATTCGCGAAATTCTATTGTCATTTTTCAGTCCGATTTGCATATATAGAACAAAATGTGCGAGGGTGAGGAAATTGGAAAGACGTTCTCTTGGTTCGCGCGTTCCAGAGGAATCGCGTCTTTCCTTTGAATATAAACGTGACACGGTGAAAATGATATATTACAAAAAGGATCTGTTACACTACAATAATAATATTAATTAGTAACGCTTAACACGTAATGTACACGATATATATTTGCTTACATCGTTACGGATAAGATACCGCATGATGTGCAGCGAGATTGGGAATATATTATATAGATGTTTTTTTTTTTTTATTTATCGTAATAAATGATCATCTCAAAAAAAATAATTTGAATTTAATAGCTTTTTTCCTTAAAATTGCCTTCGAATACGAATTTGATTATCACAAGACACGATCGTGATAATAGCTGCAAGAAGAAAGACAGACAAGAGCTTTATTATAATAAATTTGTAGACGAGAAATTTATTATAATACATTTGTGAATACAACAACAAAAATATTCTCTGTGTAACAAAAATAATTAATCTAATTCGTATCTTTATATAGTATTTTAAGAAAAACAAACATTTTATGTCTAAATGTATTTTTATTTCTCTACTTGCGAATGACGAGACGCACTTGTTGGTTTTTTTTATTTACATATTTAATAATGTAGTAGTGTAAAAATAGTGTAGTAGTGGCACCATAAATATAAGTAAATCTCGTAGGACCATCAATCTCGCATGCATTCATGCTCATTTATAGCATAAATACAAATTTTATGGAAAAACATTCCCGTTAAATAGAGCGAAGATCCGTTTTTTGTCACAAAATTTGCTATTTTCTTGTTTTCTTTATTTTTTTTTCCTGTACAACATGGCACGTCCTATTGTAGTATTTCTTGGTGCGGCTACGTATGAATCACCAGTATTTTGACGATGATTACCGATCTTGATCCAAGTACTCTTCGTTTTTTTTTTGTTTTTTACGCCCGAAGAAGTTTTATTACATTACTCGATAAACTATGTACAAATCGCGCTTCATATTATAAAAATCGAAATACCTCATAATTTTCAGGATTCATCTCTCTGGTGAATCCTGTTACAAAGAAAAACAAATGATGGCATTAGAAGAGTCTCTCTTTTGCTCCTTTATAACTTAAGTAGAATTTCGTTCACTCGCGTTGCGAACAGATCAGATTGCAACGCTTGGCGAATTTATTCTCGGCAGTAAAATATGACATTTTTACAATTTAGAGGGTCGGCATAAAGCACTAAAATTTTGCGGGCGCCGTTATATATAAATAAAAATTTTATACATATAAAATATACATTAAAATATATAAGTAAAAATTACAAATAACTTTTAAATCGTAAAACTTGATTTTACATTGTGAAATTCACTTCATTTTTCTATTTGATCTTAAGTAGTTTCATATTTGGCTTTATATCTTTCAACATTAGTTTGTATGGCAAAGTATGCAACTCGAAAATATGCCGATCCTGTAAAACTCCGAACTAGATTCCAGAAGATTGTGGACTCTTTGTAAGGAGCTTCGGCTTGCGTAATTTATTATGCGATATTTGAGCGATGAAAGAAATTTTATAATTTAAAAAGAGATGAGAATAATTTATGCGTGCAACATAATATAATAAAAACAAGTCAATATCTTGTAAAAATACAAATTGAGTTGATCTTTTAAAATATTTCAGATAATACTCAGTAAGAAAACTGCTTAATTTCGTTTGAGTGATAAAGGTGATCGCAAAACTTTACGCGAAAAGTGTCAAATAAACATCACTTACAAGCACATTGTTAAAGTCCATCATACATCAAGAGACCAATTATACAATGATTTTTTTAAATAAATAATTGGACTAACTAATGATGTTGAACAATAATACGAAAGAAGCAATCTCGGCATTTGTTGATAATTATTTAACCGCGAGACAAAATAAGTGATCACGCTTCACTCAAACGATTAAAGCGGTATTTCAAATTTTAAGGTTCCTGAATTTTTTGTTTATAGCTCACCAATATCAGTTTGTTTCGATGTAAATTTTGTGATTGCATTGGACAAAAGTTCACACAATTTATCACTTTTAATAATTCAACAGTTACAACAAATACTCAAGAGTCTTAATTGTGACAAGTGTCTTGTATACAATTGCGATCGGTTACTTACGTTTGTGTATGATAATATCTCGATATTTCTTCCAATTATATAAAAATCGATCAAATAAATATGATATCGATGAAACAAATGTGTTGATCCGCATTTTCCATCGAATCTATTGAAAGATAGACATCGATTAAGACATCACAAATACCATCTATCATGACACACACAATATCTTCATTAAGATATGGAAGAAGCACATGAGCAGATTAGGCCATGAAACCAAGTAATTTTATAAAAAATTCGCGCCTTTTGGTAACACAGTCATTATTGCAGATTTACAATTGTTTTGTTAAACCTCAATGAAGTTACGTTTATTTAACATTATCTTGCGCGTTTTTACACATCCTTATAGTCTACGAACACCCTAACCTTGTTTTTTTGCAACGATGAGGTCTTCGAAATTTCTTAAACCGGTTCCAAAGAAAAACTACAAGCAGAGATCTCGAACGCTGTCTCTGCAAATTAAGTCCCAAGGTATTCCTCTACACCCTCGAGAAGCTAGTACGGAAAGTAGTTTTATTTACAAGCCACATGAAAAATGGCACATTAAGAATATCTTTGCACTACTTAGTCGTGCGACTATCGCCGTCGCGCAATCTTTATTTCTATTACCGTTATAGTCTTTTTTTAATCGTTTTACTTATATCACGCAATATGCACAAGTCTCTAATTTTACGTCTAATCACATTCAAATGCGGCACTTGAGCGAAGTGTCCTTTCTAAGTACAGCGGGTTTTTCTCGGAAGTCGAGCAACTTCAACATTTTAACAGTTCAGTTCTATAGTTCACTCACTTCCGAAGTCGTTCGATTTGTCTTCCCGTCCATTAACACAAAAATTTCCATCAAACGATCTTTTTTTTTTTTGTGATTATGGAACATGTTTCGTATCTTCGGAAGTGATTTTTTAAAATCACACCGTTGTCTCGTTCTTTCCGAACGGTTTCAGTGGTTGCAATTCCCGTTCCAAACGGTCGAAATCATTATAGTACTCGTGATCCGACTCCTCTTCGGAACTTCGCTGCCTAACTTGAGACCCAAATATTCCGTTTGTCAGAACCTTCTCCAAATCTGGTGTTGGGATACCCAATGTCTGCGGCGTGAGTGGACCGTCATCTTGTGACATTATGTACTCCGGATTATCTAACGATGTCTTCCCTTGTATCGTTAGGTAACCTGGATATTTTCGGAAACCATTGTTTAACCGCATTGGTTCGGATTCTATAAAAGAATACAAAAATCATTATATAGCGAAAGACTATTTAAAAATTAAGAAGTTTTTTTAATCTATAAAAGCAAATTTTGCTTTAGCTTACCTGTAAGTTTAGATTCCCCGATGAGATCCATGTACTGCGTCGTGTTGGCTGGCAGCTGCGGTGACGGCATAAGATAGTCATCCTCGTCCAAAGGCAGATCCAGCTTCAAGTCACCTACTTGTGCCTGCTGATGCGCGGAGTTAACTTTAGCGTCAAAACAATCGTCCGTTACGTCACAATCTGAAATTAATCCATTGTATTTATTATAAACAAGTTCTCATCTCTATAGAAAGATTCTTTTCCGCAACTCGATCTCTTCTGCAACTGCTTTAACAGATATCATTCTGCTTACCTTTACCGACCATCTTCAACGGATCCGAACAGTATCTTTTTGCGCTGATTGCCACAGCGTGTCCGCAATGGCCGTTGGAATGTACGTAAGACGTGGGCTGGCAAGACATTTCGGCTTCGTGCGACGCGTTTCCGTTCCCCTGATTGTTGCCGTACCTCAAAAGTTCTCTGTCCCAGTTTTGCTGATTCTGCGGCGTTGGAGAATCAGCGGCCAGTGGCTTGTTGTTCGGCCAGCAAGATTTTACCGGCGTATTCGGCGGGGAACCAGAAGTACTTGATGCGGAAATTCCAGGCGGAAGTGGAGCCCGCGATTTTGGCTGTAGATACTCGTCAGCATCCATCAAAGCTTCGGGACCATCCATCGCTGATGCGAGATTTCGTATCATCTCTTTTTCATCCTGAAGATTCAATAAAATTTAAGATAACACAAATTGCTTACAAAAAAGAACACGCGAGTTTTGCATAAATAATACAAATTATATAAAATTACCTGTACTGTATACGAAGGAAGTCTCATGTATTTGTCCCCTTTGATAGCAAGATACCGACCAGGATCTCTGGACATCTTCGCAAAATCTTCCGCTAACTCTTTGAAGCTAGGTCTGGATTCCGCATCAAGCATCCAACACTTGATCATAATCATGTACACATCAATTGTACAAATTGGAGGTTGCGGCAATCTTTCACCTTTTTCCAACAGCTCCGGCACATTGCGGGCAGAAACACTTTCGTACGGTCTACCGCCATAAGTAAGAACTTCCCAAATGGTCACTCCGAATGCCCACACATCCGATTTGTGAGTGAACACTCGATGCTGAATGCACTCCAGTGCTAACCATTTAATAGGCATTTTTCCGCCCGCGGCCTTATACTGTTCCTCGTTGACATCTAACAATTTAGCGAGTCCGAAATCAGTGATCTTTACGCAATTCGGAGTTTGTACAAGAACGTTTCGCGCTGCCAAATCACGATGGACCAATCTCCTGTCTTCCAGGTAAGCCATGCCTCTTGCTATTTGCGTGCACCAATTCAATAACGGTTTCGAGCCTATTTTATCCTTATATCTGCGTACAAATTCCAGCAGACAGCCTAGGGGCATCAGCTGGGTCACCAACATCATTTGCGACGTCATGCACACCGCGAGCAACTGCAGCAAATTCGGATGCTCGACACTGGCCATGATGTAAGCCTCATCGAGGAATTCTTTGGACGTATTCATACCGGTATCGTTGTGAAGAACCTTTATAGCGACCGGAATTTTCACGTTTTCACCTTCCGGCACCCAAACGCCTTTGAACACGTTACCAAAAGCACCGTAACCCAGTATCCCTCCCTTTCTCATCTCTTCTTCTTTAATAATTCGTAACTTTGCAAGATTCGGTTTCACTCCTGTTGGTCGAAGCGGTTCGTTATCGTCCAAACCTGTCAAAGCCATAGTCATCTTCACAGTGTTCTCCTTTTCTTTTCTTCTCTGTCGCCACAGATACATTATCACAAGAGCAATTACAACAATCACCACTATGACACACACAACACCAGCCAAAATAGCGTTCTGAACTTCGCTGTCCATTTGATAGCCGAGATCCTTTGTCATGGAACAATACGGTTCGCTGTCCGGCGGAAAGATTTTGTGAGGGTATTCCGAAGGACAGATTTCCGTGCAGTTGAAAGACATTGTATTGTTGTTAATAGAATCGTCCGTCTAAACATACGGATCATATATATTTTATATATGATATACAATAATATAAAATAATATAAAACAAGATACACACAATATTGTCAACATCATTACTTTCGTGTTTGTTACTTACAGTGTAAATTTTGTAATTCCGACATTTGTAGCACTGATTAGCAAATTGTCCAAAGCATCCTCGGCACTCCGGAAAACACGGTACACATAGCTGCGTGCCAAATTCCACAAAATGATCAACGGGACATTCATCCTCGCATTGCTCGCCTCTCTTGTACTTGGCGCACTGTAGACACACCTGCTCGTGAAAGCCGTATCCCGTGCATTTCTTACAACGTGGATGACATTTGCGACAGACACCCTTTCCAGCAAGAGGCTTCAAAGCACCTTGCTCCTGAGGGTTCACCCATTCGTAATAATATCCTGTAAATTTATAAGATGAGTCTTTTGTTAAAAAACGTGATGTTATATAACACATTTCTTACGGCGTTATAAAAAATTTTACCGTAGTGACGTTATTTTACTATTACAAATTCTTAAAAATTATTTTATAACCAAAGAGAAAGAGAGAGAAAGATATACAGATACATATATATTGATATGTTAATGTAAAATTCATGAAAGAACTACGATCCATTGGATTGACTTACCGTCCGGGCATGGCTCGTTCTTGTACAAACATCGTTCTGGTACGTTTTCATTAATTATTGCCTTTTCGCAACTATGACATCCGTTGGCGCCTACGTTGTACCCAGGCCCGTCGCACCCGTCCGCGCAGTTTTCATGACAGTGTTTGCATTGGCCGTTGTCGTTGTATTTCAAGGACGGGCACTTGGACACACAGAACGGCCCGTCCTGAATGTTTTTGCATTTGAAGCATTGATCGGCATTAGGGCCGGTGCAGGAGCCGTCGCACTCTTCGTGACACATCTTGCAGGTGTAATTGTCCGCCTGATAAATTCTGACAACACAATTAACACTAATTATTAAGCGATGCTAAAGAGTATTGAAAAAAAATTGGTGTGTAAAACGCAAAAGTAAGAACATTAAAGCAAACGAGAAAAACAAAGAACAAAAATGTAAGATTCAAAAACTGGCGCATACAAGATAAACATTTTTCAAATATGTTTGATGTCCCGGGTTTTTGCTTGCCATTGAGAATTAATGCAAGTGCGAATAAAAGCGGTTACGATAAAACTAAACGTGTTTGCGATAATACATGTATGTACGTTGTATCTTGCTAGTGAAATGGATGAAGATAAAAAATAGAGAGAATGGCAAAAGGTGAAGCTTATGTTTCTCGCGCGAAAGAGATGATCGATTTACCTTTGATCCATGATCTAGGAGGGCAATTTTTAATTGGACAAAAATGCATTATGCATTATTGGAGAAAGTACGGTTAATATTCTATAATTTTATGCACACAGCAACATACATACCCTGGCGCTGTACAGTTCTCGAGACAGTCGTTGCCTAAAATAACGTTCTTGCAAGACAAACACTGTGCTGGTCCAGATCCCCAACATCCTTCATCCGAACATTGTTCGTCACATACGAAGCCATCCTTGACTGCAATTCAAACAATATTCTTTAAAATTTTTTCCATAGACATTAATTCACTTAATTACACAATACGAATGTCGATATATAAATTGGTTTTTCTTGTCACAAACACATATCAGACGCATTTATAAATGTGATCCCTGTTTTTTTACTTACCGCATTCGCTCTCATCCCGATTGTTCGACAAGTTATTTTCCTTTATGTGTTCAACTGATTTCTGAATTCTGGTCCAATTAATGCTTTGCGTGTAACAAAGATTTTTATTTTCCACAATGATGATCGAACCGGATTGAATCGTTTTCAGAGATTTGAGTTCAAAAGACTCCAAAGAAGTTTTGACGATGTACAACGATGCAAGTCTATTATCCGTAAGCGTTCTTCCTTTGATCAATTCCAGATTACGAAAGTACGAAAGATTTCTGAAATCCTTGTGATACGCTTGGATGTTCAGAAAGCCTGTGATCTCTTTCAGTGACTTAAAGACCTCTAGTTTGTCAGGATGCATCTTTTCGTATCGCTTGCCGAACGAGAAATTAGCGTAAATATTTTGAAAACCGTTAAAGCTTTGTTCCAAAATCACGATCGAGCCGTCAATGACGGTGCAGTCCTTGAACGAGTCAATGTTACCAGAGTGAATTATATCAGTGTTTTTGCAATTTTTGGGACAAAGACCGTCGCAAGGAACGCACTCGCCGTTCACCTCTTTTTTCCTCGGAGGACAAGATCTCACACAAGCGCCGTTGTCTTTCAACAGATGCTGCGGACACTTCCTCACGCAAGTGGCACCGTAAGCGTACTTCCCTTCGGGATTGGCTTCCCACGAGTATGTTGTTGGATTGTATCTAAAACACGATTGTAACACAATATATTTATTTATATTTAATTTATTTAATAAATGTTGTCTCATTAATTATTAATTATTTTATAAGGACATATATCAGGTAGAGCTATAACATATACACTTTACGTACTTTTGCATAGGCGGACATTCCTGGGTGCACACGCCATCGTTATAAAAGTTCTTGCAGGCGAGACAGTCGCTCTGTTTGGGACCGGTACATCCACCGGCACAGAAAAGATGGCAACACTCGCGCGGATTCGGTCCGAAGCATCTGCCTTGCCAACATTGGGGCGAGCAGTTGGTTTTGGAGAACTTTTGACAATTCTCCGGACCCTCGCCCCAACAACCCTGCTCGCAGCTCTCGTCGCACTGCTGACAATTGCGTTCCGGAAACGGAAGTTTGTACACGTAAAAATATCGCCCTTCCGGACTGGTGATTATTTCGTCCCAATTGATAGTCTTGATATGACAGAGGTTGTAGTTGTTGTACATGGCCACGCTCCCATTGAGTATATCTAAGACGAAATCGATCGAGTTAAACGCGATATTACATAAAACTATGAGGATTTTTATTAAACAGAAGTTTTTTTAAAAGATAATTTAGCAATTGTACATGTAATAAAACAAATAAGATTAAAATATAAATAATTATTAAAATGTCTTTTATTTATCAGTAAAATTAATTTTCTCTGGCAATATTTGTTTAAATTATTAAAGCGTGCTCACACAAAAGAAATAAATTGACGTACCTCTGAGAGCTGGCAGCTCGAGGTTGTACATCTTACACATCGTAACGAAGAGGGCAAATTCGTGGTCGTGAACATTAACCTTGAAAAGGGTTCTGCCACGGATGATCTGTAGCCTCGGGAGGACGACCTTGCGTACGTCCACGTGACTGATGAGGATATAGCCGGTGACCTCCCGTATATGCTGGAGAAAGCTGAGATCGAAGGTTTCGTTAAGCCACGTGATCTCCAGGTTACCGTCGACGTAAGTACAGTTGGTGTACCGGTCTCGAAGATTCCGGTAGTGACGGTCCTTGTTAGACGGCAAGGAGAGACGGCCATTGGTACCGATACAAACTGAAAACATAAAATAATAAATTTGAATAAAATTTATAAGTTACATTAAAAAAAAAAAAAAAAAAAAAAAAAAAAAACAGCTCTCTGAGTGTAAATCTATAAAAAGTACTAAACTGCTCGTACGGAGCGGAGTGCAAGCGATATACGTTAAGTTTCTCTCTCTCTCTTTCTGTCTCATCTTTCTCTTCTCACAGCTTCTCTCGAGAGACTATGAAATAAACATATCTTATTAAGCAATCCGGAATAACGGTTCGTAGTTGAAATCAAATATCGGAGATTGTGTGCGCGGGACTTCTGTGCTTGGGGGAAATCGCGCGTTATTCATTTCCGATTACGATATACTTCGTAGACACCTACCCACACCGAGAGAGTATATTCCCGCGATCTATAAGATAGTGGATATTTTCTGTATGAGCGAAGCGTGCCGTATCGGTGGGCGAACCTGCACCTCCATAAAGTGCCGTACACGCGCCGCTGTGATTTCGTTGTGCAATTACGATCCTCCCAGTCGACTGTGTTCGAATGACCGGCGCATAAACTTGGAGGCACTGCGTGTCTATACTTTGTGCGCAAGTTACGGCAAACGTTTGCGGCCTCGGAAACGAGAGACAGGACATTTCCTCTGCACGTTGCCGTTGTTTCTTCGGCAAAAGTTGTCTCAAACGTATATCAACGCGTGCAATGACAAGAATTAGATAGCAATATATCGACAAACAAATCTACGCGGTATAGAGGTTTTTGCAATGTTTACTTGCTTTCACATACAGAACAAATAAGTATGTAGTTAAACGCGCGGTTCCTTTCTTGAAAAAGAGAAAAAAATAAACAAGTGTTTCGCTTTAGCACGGTAAAGATAGGATAATTAATGTTTGTTAGAATATCACTTTTGTCATGTTCACCTTCATTATACGCGCTCGAGTGAAAGCAGGAAGCAATAAATTTTCAACACGTGCGTTTTAAGCGGCGGGTAATTTTTCATAAAATTACATCGGTAATTATGCGTGACGTCGTCGCGCGATAAAATTAATCAAAAGAACAAACTTCAGGTACGAGCGAAAGAAAAAAAAGAGACTCGAGATTTTTATTAAAAATACCTGATTCTTTCTCTCATCTCAAAGAAACGACCGCCCCGCGCGCGGGGAAGCATAGTCGCACGTTCGCTCGTACCGGAATTAGGTTTTGTCCGGTTAAATCCGCGCATCGTTCTCGCAAGAGCGAGGTTCGCAAACGAGCCTGCGATCGGCATGCGGTGCCGAAAGGGCGGTCTTAATCTTTGGCCGGCGATCGGAATCATGCGAAAATAATTGCGCGCGGTAAGGACGCGCCGCATTCTTTTTGCACGACGAGTACCTGAGGAGAAGGACGCGCCGGCAAGAAGAACACGATTCCGACCGACGACGCAAGGAGATTGCGAGGGGAAAAGAACGTACGCGAGTACCTGGGGACACGCGAGTATTTGTGTCGGCCAGATGCTACCGGCGAGTGTCGCCGGATGCCAAATGCGCGTAGCGTGGCATGGCGCCAGAAGCCCCGAGAATGCGGATCGTGCGTGGATCTGCATCAACGATGGGAATCGCGTAATGGCTAAGGTTTTCTGCAGGCCCTATTCCCCCCCCCCCGCCCCAGGTCGTGTCTCGCGAACTCGCATCGAAGATGAACGACTTGATCGTCATAATGAAGAGGTATGGCGAATATTTGTCGGAATATCTCTCCGTCCGGCAGAATTTTTCGTCCACGAACGAGAGATACCGCTGTGAAATCGCGGAATTTACGGTCTGACGAGCGGCGAGAGTTTCTTGTCATCGTGAAACCTCCTTCCTCTACTCGGAGAATGATGATAGGTACACTAAGTGAATTAGCGCTGAGAATGGGTTTCGGATTCTCTGTGCGGAATACCACCAGGTGGATCCAATTTCTCAAAACAACGTAACAGCGCAATTGAATTTTTTCTCTTCTCCCTAAAACACAAGAAATAAGTTCGGCGTTTTCTTGTACGGCGTTTCGGTATCAAGTTCGGAGCTTTACGAGTAATAAAAAAAAAAAAGTCACAAGTGTGACAAGTATGTGATAAATTCGAATGCGTTATTTTGTTGTTGCCGCTTAAAAACACGTGGCTTCTAAAAATCGACAATCTACGCAACAGCGAGCGCGGTTTGACGGTTTTACGACTAGTCGACGGACGCCATGCAGTAAAACGAATTACGACCTAAGCCCGAAACAAATGGTGATTCGAGCCGACACGTCGAAGGGAACTTATGGGCGCGCGCTGGCGTGCTGGAAGGTGGTCCGATAAAAAGGAACACCACGAGCGATGATAGTCCGCACGGACGTTTAGACAGGCGAGAGAAGAACTCGGCCTCGCCAGAAGTGTCGGCGTTGAGGTCGGGCGGGCCGACACGTTCCTCGTTCTCGTTTTCCGAGCTTCGAGGCTCTCTTGCGCGGCACAAAATTCATCATTAGATCCCCGGGACTGAGATATACCCTGGGCGCGCGCGGAACGTGGTGATTATCTCGAGACCCGCAAAAATTGCCCCGCTCGCTCTCGCGCGTTGAATTAACATTCTGCCAAATTTACGACGCCTGCACCGACGTAGACAATGCCGGCGGTATTGATTACGGGCGTGGCGCGAACATCCTCCTCGCTCTATCATTTGCGAGAAGTTTCCTTTTAGGAAACCTGTCCTCGCTGTTTGATCCGAAGCAGTTAATCCATATATAGGCGACCGCGATATTGAATGTAATGATCGGGCAATAATTTTCATCGTCACGGAACGAAATTAATTGCCTCTCGCGATTCTTTAAAGAGCAAATTTGACATAAATATGGTCAATTACGAAAAAAATAAACATTGTTAATTAAGGTATTTAAAAAAAAAAAAAAAAAATACGACGTTTTCAAAAGTCACACAATGAGAGAGGAGAGTGGCAATAATTTTCGGAGACACGCCTGTCCCGAATGTGGTCTCTCGAAGTGCGCGGGCGATAAATCTGACAAAAAACCACGAAATATGAGGGGCGAGGATGACGTAGGACGTGGAGAGAAACAAGCGAGCGACGTTCCGAAATCCCGCGGTGAAGTTTCTTTTGTGAACGGGCACGTCGCGTCGAGCCGTACGTGGTCCATCTCCGACCACCTTCTAGGAGGTGAGCGTCGATTTTTATGCGGCACTTTAAGATGCCACCCTCTCCCATTAAAGGCCCAAAGTAATACGGAATAACCGCACGCCGACGGCAGCGGCGGCGCCGTTTATTTGAGCTCGTAAACATCGATATCGTCGATCGACCTCTCGCGTTTCCCCACCACCGAAATCGTTTTCTGGGCATTGGGGCCCCTCTCTTCATCTTCTACTCTCTTTCTCTCTCTCTCTCTCTTTCTCTCTCGTTTTAGGTCGCACTGTAAAACGGGGCCCTGCGGCTAAATGCCCCCGACGAAATAAAAGCCGAGTATCGTAAACGCGCGAAATAACTATCGGGCTCGAAGTTGCACGAAAAACAAAGAAAAAGAAAACAGAAAGCCAGCCTTGAATTTCAAGGTGAGAATAAATCTCAAAAAGACAGAAAGAGAGAGAGAGAGAGAGAGAGAGAGAGAGAGAGAGAGAAAGAAAATAAAAAAAGAGAAAAGATTGAAAATGAGAAGAAAATCAATTTGTTAAAACCAGCGGAAAAATGAGGGCACGGGATAATAGGAAGCTTGTTGGAAGCGAACGAAAAAGAGAGAACTAGAAACTGAAAAAGAAGAAGAATAAAAGACACGTTCGAAAAAGAATAGCGAACTCCGCATCATCTTTCGCGCAATAAATCAAAACTCTGGCTGTTCGATCGAAATTCCGAGAGTTCGTTATTATATTTCGGTAAGAACGTCCCCGAGCGAAGCAGTTTGCGACCGCGTACAGAAAACGAATAAAACGAAGAGTTCGCGTCTCTTCTTCGTGACTTTCTTCGCGAAACCTAACGGTTTCCCCGTGTTTGAGCAAAGTCGTGTATTATGAGCTTCGAAGCTTCGGAAGAGAAATTTACGCGGACATTTAATGCCTCTTTATGCAGGCATTCTTATTTTTGGTCTATGTTCTTTTTTTACGGCTTTGCGTTTTTTGCATTGAAACATGCAATTGAATTGTATGACTTGTTTCTTTGTTCCAAAACCATTTCTATAATTTTTCTTTCAGAAGGACGCGTCAGTGTGACGTCTCGTCGGAAAAGTACAAATTTACAATTGGTGCAGAGTTACATCAGTCTCTTGCTGGAAGACTCCCAAGACAGATCGCTTTGTCATCGCGATCGGTCGGCTACAACCCCGATTGATCGCTCTCGCGTACGGATCCTCGAGAGATCGAAGGACGAGAGGGATACATTGGAGAGAAGCCGGGATCGTACAAGTTTCGCGCGCGCGCGCGCGCGCGTATATACGTTATATCTGTGGCGTAACCATTTCAGGGCGTAACATTAATAGCTTTATGGTTTATTGCTTTCGAGAGTCTGCGGTTAAGTTCCTCCGCTCCCTGTGGCGCGGTCCCGGACCCCGAAGGCTACGATGCGGTACGTCTCCTCTCTCTCGTGTACCGCCATTTTTCGATTTCGTTATGTCGGCGGCGCGGCGGCGTTTATTCACGTCGCTCTACTCGATCATGACTCTTCTTCCTTCTCTTGTTTTGTCTTTTCGCGCCACCGGCGTTCGCGTTACGATGTGCTCAGCTTGACCCTTTGACGTGCACTTCGGTACGTCGTCAGCTTTGAAAGAATCGAAGGAAACAAGAATCGCGAAGAAAAATGTGTGTTTTGAAAAAAGAAAAAAACAATAATCTTTAAAATATTTAATTCTATGTATAGAAAGAGTTTAATTAAGTTTAATTAATTAAAGCCAGCCATTAAGACTGCTTGAAATAACTTTGTACTTTCTCAAAAACATTAACAAAACGAATTTTTTTAAAGCTTGCCTCTTAAAGAAAATAAAAACTACAATAACAACAAATAAATAATTTAATTTCAATTTTAAATAATTTT